AATGTTCAAATGAATTAGGATTTTCAAGTCCTTATTTATTTTCATAAACTTCATTTTTTGATTTTATTATTACAGTTCTTAATGCTTTTCCAGTTACTGTTGATATTTATGATGTAAAATTATAATGTTTATTTACTAGTTTTGTAATATTAATTTTACCAAGACATAAAACTGTTTTTACAAGAAATAAACTTGGGGGATTTTGTTGTATTTGTTGATCAGAAAAGTTTTGTGTTTTTGGTGTTGATTTATCAAATATTGTTAAAATTGAACCTAATCGTTTTAATAATTCTTCTTTTTGTTTATTTTCTTTTGATGCTGCTATATTTAAAATCCATTGTCCAAAAAGTTCAAGTGTTTTTGTTGTATCTTCTTTATGTTTTTCCTCACATAAAAATATTGCTTTTTTTTCACTACCTTGTCATTCAAAAAAATGTCCACCTTGTGAATTAAAGCATTGTGAACAAATATAACGTAAATGATATTCATTATTTGATTTATTGATAATAGTATTATTATCAACATCTTTAAAAATCTGACAAGTTTTAAGTCCAATATATGGTACTTGAATATTTTGTCTAACTATGCATACTGAATGTTCTATACAATTATTTTCATGACTAAAAAAATATTTATGTTTATTGCAAAATAAACAGCGATGATTATAAATTATACTTTTTTCAATAGATCTTTGTTTTTTTATATTTGGCATATGAAGGTAATTTTGATTAAAATTAAAATGAGTTATACAAACTCCTAATGTATTTAATTTATTTTCTGCCTTCATATTTAAAAATATATTTTCATATATTTTCCATGTTCCTATAAGTTGTGCTAAAGGACGTTGATGTGTTATTATTTTAGAATATCATTATATTTTACTATCAATCATATCTATAATAACACAAGGTGTTAAAATTAATGATCCAGAAATGTTTTCAATTTGATAATTAATATCTTCTTCAATAAATTTTGTAATGACTGATTCTGTTTCAAAATTTTCTTCAAAATCAGCATCTTCTCAATTAATTTCATCATCATTTATTTCTAATAAATCTTGAGCATTTTTAAATGCCATTTCATTCCAAATATATGGTAAAATTTCAGTATCATGACTGATACTTTCTGTGGTAAAACTACTAATAGTAGCAGTAGAACTTAAATTATCATTATCCAAAAATAATATATCTTCATTTTCACTTGGATTAAATTCAAAATCATTTTCATTTATTAAAATATTTTTCCAAATATTATCAGTTTCTATAAAATAAAATAAATAATAATATTAACATAACATTAATATTAACGTTAAGTTCCGTTATCCTTAAACTTTCAATAGTATCATAAAAAATCATATCAGATACTCTGACATTTGATTCTAATTCTTCTACAATATTCTGACCAGCCAAATGATGTATAATTTCGGAATTATTTGATACATAATTATTCTTTTGATAATTTATCTGATCAAACCGGATAATTTGATAGTTCTCTCCAAATGAATTATTTATGCTAGAAGAAGCATCGTTGTTATTCAAACGACGTTGAAGATTTGATACATTATTATTCGTTTGACTTTTTTCTTTTATGGTATTAGTTATCGTAACAATTGCATTTAATTTATCAACTACTTGATTCATTGATGGACGACGATCCGGCTCATTATCCCAACACCCTGAAATTAGATAAAATTTTAATAAAAATTTATATTTTATAAATAAATTCATAATCGTCAATTTACCAATGTAAATGTTCACATAATCTTCAGGTGTGCAGGGAATGATCTTTCTCTAAATCCTCCTAAAATTTCGATAGCTAAACCAATATCATATTCTTCATTCTTAACATAAAAAGGAGGATGTCCGCTTGATATCTCCCATAAAAAGTATACCAACACTGTAAACGTCGCTTTTTTCATTTAGTTTGAATTGTGATGAATTGTCTCCTCTTCATCTGTTAAAAATTTTTGGGTCAACATAAGGAATTACTCCAAAAGCTTTTGATTGATTCGTTGCTGCTTCTATTCTTTTCGATAATCCAAAGTCGGCTAGTTTAATAACGCCTTGATGAATTAGTACATTGCCGGAATGCTATTGCATACGAATATAAAAAAAAAATTAACTTTTAAACAACAATATTCGGAAGAATATGTTTACCAAATCACGATGCACAATTCCTTCGTTATGTAAATATGATACAGCACAAGCCAACTGGAATGCCAATTTGTATTTATCTCCCCAGGCTAGATTATCAAAATTACCTTTCAAATAATTTTTAAGAGAACCACCGTCAGCATATTCCATTACTATCCAATATTTTATTCAATTGGTCATTTGGATTTTCTAATTTTTTTTTTTTTTTTAAAAAAAAAAATTATAAATAAAAAATAAATAAGACGCAAATGTTTACATATTTTCGCATTTTATACCTTGGTTTAATGTTGATGTAATTCCCAAAAAGCGAATGATATTGCTATGAAAATCAACTTCCCGTTGAAGCTCAAGCTAAAGTTATTTGAAAATAAATTTTAGCTTGGTATCTATACTAAATAGACCGAAATAAACCGAAATGAATATTATGTTTGTATTTACCTCACGAATAAGTTCTTCAATAGTATCAATGTTAAAGATATGAAACGCTTTTAAGGCGAGATGTTGATATGAATTTTTCCAATTTGCACGATAAACTTTTCCAAAGCTGCTTGTACCAATCTCTTGAAAATTACTAAGTTGTTTATATTCGTAGTATTTGATACTTTTCTTTGAGATAGATTCTTCAATCCAATTAACCCATTCATTTGAATTGTTAGCGGCTTGCATGTTGATTTATTAAATTTTTTTTTATATATATAGCGTAATGAAATATAAATTCTTGGAGAAAAGCAAAAAAAAAAAAAAGTGCATGCGGTAAATCATGACATTTATTTAATGTTACACTATAAAATTCGTCATAATGTGAGGAATTACCAATCATTGCATCACAATTATTTTCAAAAATTTTCCCACGCACAGTATATATATATATCTATATATCGCAAATTTGCAAGTTCTCAAATTAATAAAACTTTTTAATTTTTTTCTTCAATCTAGATATTTTACAAGAACTTGCTGACAGTTTAAGAAGTTGAAATATAACAACAACGCCGACAGGTAGTGAACCAATATAATTTTTTCTATCGCCTTCATGATAATTAATATCTAAATACACTGGTCGTACACTTCGTCTCTTCTAGGACTACGCTCTCTTCCCTTTTTTTTATTTTATAATTCCCTTTTCTTTTATTCAATAGAAAATAAAATATAAATAAACACTAATGGCCTTAGTTAAAGTGATATATCTGCTGGTCAGTGAATTGAACTTAAGGACCAAAAATATAGAAAGAAGTATCCTCTCGTTTCGTACTATTGGCAAAGCAAGTAGAAAATATGGGTTCGCTTGTCCTATGTCCAATTTGCGTCGAAGTGCATCTGCTAGTTTAGCTTTAGATAGTTTTCTTCTATATAATTTTTCTATATGTATTAATCTACTTCTATTTGTATTTTTCTATTAATATTATCCAATAAAATTAATGGTACAAGCCGCTTTTGCCCTCGAAATTCTTGACTTTACTATTGAGTTAAAATTTTTTATAAGTTATCCAAATTCCTTGCATTTTCTTTAATAACCGTTCCTTGACTATTGAACAGGTATATGATAACTCAAAAACTGCGATCGTGTATATTATTGAATACATATCTGTGTTATTTAATTCTCAGTCATCTCAATCCAATTTTCAGGAATGATGGAGCACACTTAATCACTGTTTTCAATACACAATGTATTTATCTTTTATCCGATATAGACGTACAGGATTTTAAAAATCAAACATCGATTTTGATTGAGTTATCATTTCAGATGTTAGTACAACGAGGCTTGGTTAATAATTGAAGCGCTCTCTTTCTAAATAGATTAAAATATGGTAATATAAAAGTACGTAAATATGATAACGATAAATAGGATTGGAAAGAACGTATGAAAAATTTATCAATATTATTAAGATTCTTTGATGTCAAAGAAAACTAGCTTAAAGACCTGACCTGATTAACCGCGAAGGTTTGAACAAAATTAAATAACTCCTTTAAAACCATAGACAATTACTTTTTCAAATTTTAGTTATAATGATTAAAGAATTGTCTCTAAACGACAATATTGATTTTGAAAAATTTGATTAATGGAGTCGATGAAAGATATTCAGTTGATCATCGTTATTCAAGTCAACATATCTTTAAACGATTTATGAATAATGCAAAGTTTGGTTTGGATACATTCATAAAAGAATTCAATGTCGTTGCCTAAAATTCTTAGTTATCGAGTAAATTACCGTTATATAATAGTAACATTATGGACCTAAAAAATATATATGAATCCATCTATAACAAAGGTGTAGTTACAAAGGAAAAGATTTATAATGCCGTGAATGTTGTGCACATGTTAAAATAACTGACGTTGACCTATCAGTGTGCGTAAATTTGGTTTTGAAACCAAAATTTTAGATTTCACACTTTTTTTCTGTACTGATATCTCCAAAGCACTTTTAATTTCAATACTGGATAAATTGTTGATGACATCGTTAAAGGAAACATTGAGGAATTTGTAAAGCAAGGTCGACATTATCAGAATATAATTTTTACAATGAAAAAATTCTCATTTGGATAACGAAAATATATTTAATTAGCTAAAGGCACTAATAATTTAGAGGAAAAATATCAATTATTATATTGAGAAATTACTTGGACATCTGGTGAAAATTTTATTATTATTTTTTTTACTGCGATGATTATGTTTTTATTTATGTGTACTAAAGAATTAGCATTTTATGACTACTATACAACAAAGTGGCGAATAAGTGGAAATAATAGAGACTTGTCTATAGTTGCGGGGCAAAACCATAAACCCATTTTGGCAAAAGTCGAAACTTTTCAGAATTTGTTTCGACAGTTTCGACGGGTTTCGACGGGTTTCGATGGTTTCGACGGGTTTCGACGGGTTTCGATGGGTTTCGATGAGTCTCGAAAGTTTCGACGGTTTTGATAACAACTTTGCGAATTCTAA